TGCTCTTCCGATCTCCCCAAAACCCCAAAACCCCAAAACCCCATGACTAAGAAATTAATGGAATCGCAAAAATTTAAATATCATCAAAGACAGAGAATAATTTTTAATAAGTATTAAAAAGAAAATAGCTCAAATAACAATGAGCAGCCTCAATTATAATTAGGTTTCATTGCATAAAGCAAGCTATGAACCTGATATACCAGTAAATAATGCAACTCCTTGCTTTAGAGACCCATTTGAGTTGACACCCCCGCAAATCGAGGAGATAAGAGGAGATTCAATGGAAGAGTCAAAAAAAGCAGCTGAATTTTCATTAAAGGATTTCAAAGTAATTGATAACATTGGTTCAGGCTCCTTTGGTATCGTATATATTGTGGAGAAGGACGGAAAGTAATATGCTATGAAAGAATTGATGAAGGACCAAATTATAAGAGTAAAATTCATTCATTAATTTTTTAGTTAGATAAGACTGAAAGTGTGTTCAGAGAGTAGGATTATTTACGAAAATTCAACCATCCTGCAATACCTAAACTTTTCTTTACATTTCAGGTATAAAATTGATTCTCTAATTTCATCTCTACCTTAATAGGATTCTTAAAGTCTGTATTTTGTAATGGAACATGTTCCTAATGGCTAGTTACATTAATTGATGGAGCAGATTCAGAATAATGGTTAAAAAGGTTTGCCTCCTACCTTGGCAAAGTTTTACTCCGCGGAACTGGTTTGTGCCTTAGAATATATCCATTCATTTTCAATTGCTCATAGAGATTTGAAACCTTAAAATATCCTCATAGACGAATAATTTCACTTAAAAATAGTAAGTCGTAAATTGATAGGAATTTCCACAAAAATCTCGAATTTGTCCTAATTTTCTTAAATAGATCGATTTCGGAGATTCCAAGGAGATAACCGAATAAGATATGATAGAAAACTAGAGGATTTCAACTTCAAAAATTAGCTCAGGGTCTTTTTCAAAGATACTTCTTAATAAAGATTAAAGGGATCATCATAATCACAGAGAAGGGACATTTGTAGGAACTCCACTCTATGTTGCTCCCGAGATGCTAGAGTTTAATTAATCAGGATATTTTTCAGATCTTTGGGCACTCGGCTGCATAATTTATTAGCTCTTAACTGGAGTAACTCCATTTCAAGGTAAAAACCACGATGAAGTATTTTCAAACATACTGGAGAGGAAAATTAAGTTTCCTCCATACATGGAAAGAGAAGCTGTAGACTTAATTGATAAGCTTTTAGCATTTAATCCTGAGGCTAGAATTGGATACAATAATTTCATCTAGCTAAAATAGCACCCGTACTTTCGTGAGATAGATTTCAAAAAGATCAAAAGTAGGGAAATCCCTGTACCTAATCTTGATATATTTGGAGTAACTTTATAAAGTTCGTTAATTACAGATGATTCAGATGACTCTGCCAGAAGAAAATTCAAATCTTTCTTTAATAAAATAGAAAATGAAGATTGCTGCTCTGGAGTTGTTGACTACAAAAGAGGTGTGTTCGAAGGAGAAGTGAAAGTACGAAGAAAGCTTTTTTTCTACAAGAGAAGATATATGATTATCTAAGACAATGGAATAATCCTCTTAGCTAGAAAAAGCGGGAGAATGAGATGTGATATGTTTATAGATGGCAATACAGAAATAACTAGACTTAAAGCGAAGCGATTCCAGATTAAGAATTAAAGATTCCAAGAGGTTATAGAATCCCCAGATACAGATGAATGGATGAGGAAACTTATCTAAATACGCGAACAGCTAGCAAATAAACCTATAAGATAGTCTACATTCTCAAAACCAAGATGAAAATATATAAAAATAAGCAGTGAAAAAGTGCAATAATATAATTATTTTGGCTTTAGTGCATGTAAAAGTAAAGATATATACAACTTAGAAATTTAATTGATGTAATCATATAATTAAGTTTTAAGAATTATTATCTGTTATTATATAAATAAATCTTAATGCAGATGTACATTTGAGAATAAACTTATCAATTATTATGCTGAACTCCTCCTCCACCATAAGATGAGTGATTGCTTGCGTATCGACTGTACTAGTCATGGATAATATTGCTAGAATGAGAAACAGATCCAGTGGTCTTTCTTACTATTGAGGGATGACCGCTCGCAATACTTCCATGATGTTGCATTTAGGTGCTATTCTTTGTGCTAGCTGTGCCTGATCTTGATGAGGCTCTCTTTGAGTGATAAGAGTTTGTACTATGCATAGTATTCTATTCTAGTTTTTGCTATTGCAATTACAGCAATTGTTGTTATATAAGCATCTATTATTGCGGTGTCAGAGTTGTAACCGATCCAGATGCTTTTCTATGATAAAATGTTTTCTACGTTTGGCTTTAAGTAGATGCTGGTGTTTATTCCTCAATTTGTTCGTTGTTTTTTGGTGTTGGACACTCTGATCTTGAATATTGGATCATTGGCCCTGGGAGTGGAGCTTTTCCGCCTTTCTATGCATAAAGTATCTCAGCTGTATTAATAAAAGCTGAATTTTGGCTTAGTGCTGCCAGTTAGAAATCGAAATAGTAGCCGTTGAATAATGCTTGAACGGAATTTCTCCTTAGATTCATCATATTTAGTTTAAATTATTCATCCTCTTAATCCTTCCAGTCCTCATTAATATTTTTCTGATCGAAATTATCCTCTTTTGGTGGGATAAATGGGGCTTTGATTTTGCGGTCCCATAGATCTTGCCAAGGGAAGTCCTTAAGCCATGGGTGATTCTTCACTTCTGCCGGTCCGTTAAGTCCAAGTCTGTTCATAGGTTTTCTTTGAATCATCTAAATGTGTCTATTAGGATGAATAATTTTTACCTTATTTATAAAATCAGCCGCTTCTAGAGACCAGCCTCTTGGAATTTCATTTCTTTTAATCTGAATTTATTTTGATAGAATGTGATCTCTAATTTCTTATCTCGTTTTGCCGACATAAGGTCTCTAAAATAAAATAAAATTAATTAGATTTACTCTTCCAAACATGCACTCAAATGCCATGACACCAGCTGCGAAATAGTCCACAGAGACTCCATGGTTTTGTCTGCACATTACCTCGGGAGCTATTAATGTTTAATTATGCTTCAAAATTAATACCCATATATCCAGGTGTTCCAGAAGTATCTTAGGAATTGTCAGGTCTCCATACTCTTGCAATACCAAAATCAGTGACTCTTAGATAACCTATAATAATATTATTTAATTAAGTAACTCTAAATCTACCTTCATCGTCGAGTACCAGGTTTTCAGGCTTAATGTCCCTGTGAATGATGTTTTTATTATGGATGTACTCAAGGCCAGCAATGAGGCAGGCAATAAAGAATCCTAAAATTGGGATTAACAACAACATTATTACGGGTCTACTCCTCGGAAAATTTTCTATGTTTACAAATGTGATATCTCAAATCTCCTCCATTAAGTACGTCCATAACTAAATACAAATTTTCTCTGTCTTGGAAGGCGTAGTACATATTGACGATAAAAGGATTGTGTAGCTGAGTGAGGATTTAACGTTCATTCATGACAGATTTAACGCTTCTTTTGGTGATAATTCTGGCTTTCGACATTTCCTTCATGGCATATTATTGCTTTGATTTCTTTCTTTCGACTTTCCACACCTTTCCGAACCCTCCTTTTCCAATGCAATATAGGTAAGTGAAGTTGCTTTTTGTTAAAGCTAAAATACATTGATAAGGGGAGGAAAAGATTATAATATACCAGTAACATTCTCTGATTCAAATTCTGTTTTAAAATGGCAATTTCCCATTTCTACTATTAATCGATAATTATTATTATGATTTGTATTTAGAAATTTAAAACTCATTATAGATTATTTTAGAATACTTTTCATATATTACAATCCTAAACCAAATATAAATCTCGGGGTTTTGGGGTTTTGGGG